CCCCCCCAACATGTCCCCCCCAGAACCCAGACTGGGGGCTCCGGACATCTGCCGGAGGTGGGGCAGCAGAGGTACCAGGTTAACTCTAGCAGGCTGATTCTGGAACTCTCCCAGCTCCAGCACTCACTAGTGCGTGAGCTTGTGCCCGTGGCCTGGCCTCCCTGAGACTCTCCTCATCTGGAAAGTGTAACAAACCCCTGCCTCGCTGGGTCTCCCGAGGATTCAGTGTCATCTGACTGTCATCACTGCTCCCACACATTCCTTACCACCCCTGAACTTCATCACCCCCGTGAGGCCTGCCCCACGGGATCATCTCACTTCGTGGCCCCCATGAGGAGGTAGACATCCAAAGGGGCAGTTAGGTGCTGAGGGGCCCCAGAGGAGAGGTCACCCCCTCTCACAGCTACAGGCCCTGTCCCGTTGCCTTCGCCTACCCTCGGCCCCACCACTGACGAGGGTTCCCATCCTCTGGTCTCTTGGTGGGTGTCCAGGCCCCCAGCCAGGCCTAGCCATGGAGGGAGAGGGACTAGGTGTCAGCTACTTGGTTGAGTGACTCCCGCTTGCCCCAGCACCCCCACGGGTCTCTAACCCCAGCCAAGGCCCAGGGTCATGCCAAAGGCCTCCCCTCCCTAGGATCTCCTCAGCACATTCCCCTACACAGAACCTTCCTTCATCTACGCAGGAACGGGACCCCCCCCCCCAGGCACTGACACAGACTGACAGAGTAGGGGGTGTCCACAGCAGGGTGGTAACACTTCACTTCCTCTATTACATGGCAAGTTCTGACTTCCCATCAGGAAGGGCCCGTTAAGAATCCATCTGTTCCACAGATACTTCTCGTGTGCATTTGGGGCAATATATCTTGGTGGGGCAGGGCGCACGATTCAGCCTATAACAAGAGCTTTACCCCAAGTCAAAAGAGTGTTTGAGTGTTGGAAGCTGAGGCGGGATAGGGGGCAGGGAGGTAGAGCGCACTGGTTGGTGGGCAGCACTCTCTCACGAAGCCTCCAGCCCTGGAAAGGGAGAACTAAGAGGAAAAAAAAAAAGAAAACAGAAAACTCTCTTACCTCCTTTGAAGGAAACAAAGTCAGCGGGAAGAGAGGAAATATGGACGCTCTGGGATGTGGGGGTGCAGGGGGAAGGACAGGAAGGTGATGTGTAGAGCCTCGGTCCATCCATCTTCAAACCACCTACGTACCTTCCATCATAATAATCAAGCAGAAAATAAATAAAAGGCACTTACTGCTGGAAAATGACATCCTTGCTAGGCCCATTGTTCCCACTATATGGGAGAAATGTGTAAAGGGGAGAAAAACCCACCAACGGCCACATCTCCATCCTTGTATACACTGGCTACCATCCTCAGAATGCAGCTGGGATCAGCCAAACTGCACACAAAGAGAGGAAACTGCAGGAGTGAGAAAATGAAAAGTAAAGGGGGCATCTCAGAAGCGGCTGCAAAGCCCTGTCTCGTGAGGTGTGGGCCAGGCGGAGAGGTGCGTGTATGATCCGTAACATTAGATGTATGAAAACAGGGGCACCTGGGTGGCTCAGTCAGTTAAGTCTGCGATTCTTGGTTCCAGCTCCGGTCACAATCTCGCATTTTGGGAGTTCAAGCCCAGCACCGGGCTCTGCGCGGACAGTGTGGATCCTGCTTGGGATTCTCTCTCTCTCTCTCTCTCTCTCTCTCTCTCTCTCTCTCTCTCTCT